GTCTTATTCATTAATAATTAATTACAAGCGTAATATTGCATATATATTTAAATACAAGATTATTTTAAGATTATTTTAATTAAAACAGCCAATTACCAGCAAAATTATTAAAGATACAAAAAAATGTTTCAGAGAAAAAAGGAAAAAAAATGCAAAATTACATATTTCTTTTAAAAGCAACTAAGGTAAACTCAGATATTATGGCCATAAGGAAAAGATGGCCATGTGCTGTAATTTCCCTAATAATTGTTAAGTAATGTTTTGTAGTTCTCAAGGATAATCAATATTCACATTATTCACAGTACTTTATGTGCGTACACTATTCATAAAACCATATATTTCAGAGTGTCTTCCTTTCATTCACCCGGCTGAAATTGTTACAGCACGGTACGAAGGGGGCGATAATATCGTATGGCGATAATAATTTCTGTCCAAAGATGGAGGCGCTTTCAAAGTCAACTTCGTTTTTTCAAATGGAATTATATTGGATTTTTTTTTACACAATGATTCCTCTAATTATTCTATATACAAAAGTATTAAGGTAAAAGTGGTCAAAAAATCAATATTTTATAAGATATTTAATACTTTATCATATCATATTTTGATATAAAATATGAAATATCTCGTAAACTATTAATTTTTTAATAATTGTACCTTATAATTTTATGCACAGAATAATAAGACGAATCGATTGGTGTAAAGAAAACACACAATTGCTATGCAAAAAAAATATTTAAAAATAGCATTTTTTTAATAGCAACTGTGTTTTCTTTACACTAATCGATTCGTCTTATTATTCTGTGCATAAAAGTTTGCCCGGATAGTAGAGAAGTTCAGGTTCAAACTCAGGCTGCAATAATATATTTAGCAGCAAAAATTTCTTAATATTTACGTAGCGTTGCGGGAAAGGGGGAATTTATTGGATGCCGGTGAGTATCAGAACTTATTAAACTGATTGTCGATTTGATAGTGTGATATTACTATTTTGTTTCAAACAAGAACTGCGTCGAGACCGAAAATAACGGCGTGCAGTTTGCGGAACTATAGGAATATATAGATATGTAAAATTTACACAAAAATATTAATAAGCATCAAGATCCTGCCGTTCGTTGGCCCTCTCTCAATTTAATTGTGTTATAACACATATACAATAAATAAGTATAGGGGGAGTTCCCTTAACGTTGGACGGCACTTAATATCGAACATTAGATATATCTGTAACAGGTGAATCGCTACCGAATCGTTATTCCGCGTAAATCGTAGAGGGAATAGATCAAACAACGATCAGGTTTTGACAGTCACATGTTTCAATTGCGCGTGTACAGTTAAGGAGATCGATTGATTGCGTATGACGGGAAGCTGGTGCATTGTATAAATTATTATATCTATCAATTTGCGTGGTCGAAAGACGTGTGAGTTGCGTTATTATATCTTTTGATAAGTATTTGTTTTAATTACGTTTGTATTTTGTGCATAGAGTGCATTGGATTT